TGTTGGTTTTAGCATCCTGCTTTAGGCCTTTTTGCCTCTTCAGGATGTGGTTTTTCTTTTTTTTTTTGGTGGTTGGCTGTTCTTCGTTGTTTCGTTGTTCCCACTGGTGGGTGCTGAGCCTGGACAATCAGCGGCGAAAAGGCGGTAAGGTCGGTTCTTTTCAGAATATTTTGTCTAAAATAAAATTAGTATTATTAGTATTGATTAATAGGTTAGCGTGTATGAATGATATTCTCTCTCTCTCTCTCTCTCTTGTCGTTTCCTCATTGCTGAGGATCGTGATTCCCTACAATTCTCTCCATCTCTTGCGATTTTGGGCTGCTCTCATGAACTCGGAAAACGTCTCTCCAGTGGCTTTCTGTACTTGATCTGACCATCGGATAGGTGAGCGTCCTCGGCCTCTACGTCCTTCTACGTTTCCGCACACAATTAGTCTTTCTAAGTTGTCATTGTCTCTTCTCGCAATGTGGCCAAAAAACTTTAAAACATTTGCAAGACACTGAGAGGAGAGTCTGGTCTGAATGTTTAACTCTTCTAGAATCGACTGATTGGATCTGTGCTCCGTCCACGAGACGCATAGCATTCGTCTCCAGCACCACATTTCGAATGCGTCAATCCTTTTCCTATCCTCTGATTTTATTGTCCATGTTTCGGCACCGTAACTAAAGATTGAAAAAACGAGTGTCCGTACCAGTCTCATTTTGAGTTTTGTGGACAAAGAGCGGTCCTTCCATATTTTTGACAGTCGACTCATCGCGTTTTTGGCCATTCCTATTCTTCTGCGAATTTCCGTATGGCAGGAGGCTGCATTGCTTAAGGAAGATCCTAGATACGTGAACTCGTCTACTTTCTCGAATTGATTTAGGGCGCCTGTTGTTTGGAGGATATTCGCGTGGTCCACAATCATGATTTTTGTTTTCTGATTATTAATCTTGAGCCCACACTTGTTGCTTTCGGTTTCTACTCTCTTTATCAGTCTCGACATCTCCTCTTCAGATGTTGCTATCAGTGTTGTATCGTCTGCGAATCTTAAGTTTGAGATCTTTTTCCCTGCAATGGAGATGCCGCCTCTCCATCCATCGAGTGCGTTCCTCATTATATATTCTTCATATAAATTGAACAGGTCTGGAGATAGTATGCAGCCTTGTCGTACACCTCTGCTGGTTTTGAAGGTATCAGATTGCTGGTTTTCAATTCTTATTTTAACTGAGTTATCTTCGTATAAGTTTTTAATTAATATTGCCAAATGATCTGGAACTCCCATCTCATGAAGAACTGTCCAGAGAACTTCCCACTTTACACAATCAAATGCCTTTTGGTAGTCTAGAAAACAGATTATTATTGGAATTTTAAATTCGAGGGCCTTTTCTATGACCTGCCGCATATTAAGGATTTGCTCTCTCGTACCCTTCCCTTTGACAAAGCCTGCTTGTTCTTGGGGAATTTGGTTGTCTAAGTACTGTTGCAAACGGCGTTTAATGATTCTTAGTAATATTTTGCTTGGATGGGAAATCAGTGAGATGGTACGATAATTACTACACTTTGTAGTTGTTCCTTTTTTATGGATTGGTATGCACAATGATGTGCGCCATTCTCTGGGCCACTTTCCGCATCTCCAAATTTTATTACAAAGTTTCGACATTATGTAACATCCTTTGTCTCCCATGTTCTGAAGGAGCTCTCCCGTGATATCATCGCAGCCAGGGGATTTATTCTTCTTGAGGTGAGTTACAGCTTCTTCAATCTCGGACAGCAGAATTTCAGGTTCAGGGTTGTATTCAGTGTTTTCGACGGCTGAAGTGTGGCCTAGATTTACGTGTTCTTCCCTGTAGAGCTCTGAACAATAGTTTTTCCATGTTTCCAACACTCTGTCGATATCACTTATGATAATACCATGTTTGTCCTCTATTGCATAGTTCTTGGGTTTAAATTCTCTCGCAAGAATTTTCACTTTCCGGAAGAGGTCTTTGGTTTCATTTCGATATCCGTGATTTTCTATTTCTTGACAGATTTCAGAGATGTATTCTTGTTTGTCTTTTCGGCATCTTCGTTGAATATCTCTGGAGAGAGCTTTATATGTCTGTTGATCACAGGGGCCAACTTTAAGTTGCTTTCTTTGTTCAATCACTTTCCACGTGTTTCTGCTGATCCATGGTTTAATGCTATTATTTATAGATGGTTGGCGACATTGGTTCACTGTTGTTACGATGGTTTCTTTAATATCTGTCCAGGCTTCATCCACGCTTTGTTCTGACTGACTGTTCCCTATTCTGGTTAGTGCTGGTTCAATTCTCTCTTTAAAGGTAGCTAATTCGGGGTCCGTTAGCCCAAAAGAACGGGGAGAAGCTTTGCGTATGTTCTTGAAACGCATTCTGTAATCTGCCATCAAGAGCTGGTGATCGCTTCCGCATTCTGCTCCTGGAAATGTTTTTGCGTTGGTAATTGAAGACTTCCATCTCGAACTGATCAGAATAAAGTCTATTTGATTTCTTGTTCTATCTCCAGGTGATTTCCAGGTATAGAGTCTACGCGGATGATGTTTGAAATGCGTGTTCATTACAGAAAATTTCCTTTGGTTGCAGAATTCTAATAGTCGGTCTCCTCGCTCATTCCTATCTCCTAGACCATATGGCCCTACAATCATCTTCATGAATGATATTAATGTATGTATAAATACATGCATTAATATGTTATTATGAAATTAGTAACTTTGTTAAATTATAATACGCGACGCGAAGAGGGCAGCTGCGGCTGTATCCTCGAAAATAGACAGGTATCATTTGCAAGTGGGATCGGGAAACCGCAGAAAACCGATCCCCCCTGTCTAGGCAAGCTCGAAGTGAGCAATTTAGCTTGGAATGCGCTGGTGGTAGAGAAGAGTTGCGTCCTGTATGTCAATGTATTCATCAGGGAGATCGTTACTGGCGAGTTCCAGTAGAATAGCGGGTAGATGTGGGATTTTAGGTTTAGGGTGTCTGGTGAATACATTGCCGAGGGATGAGCAGACAGTTTTAAGAGTGTGTTGGGCTCTGAGGTTTTGGCCCTGGATTGTGCGTGTGGTGTAACTTCTGCTCAGAGAGTGAAGTCTCTCATTTATGAGCTGGATATTTGACACTTGATGTATAAGGGCAGATGGGTAGTCGCAGCGCTTTTTATTTACTCTACGCAGAATTTTCCTCTCTAGTCTAAGTAATTTTTCTTTTACATATGCCGGCATAGTAATATAAATATTGGATCTGTACTCAAAAATCGGTCTTATAAAAGTTTTATATGTATGAATTAATCTACGAGGATGCGTTGCCCCGAAATTACATCTCAAACTATTAAGGAGACCAAGTCTGTTCCTAGCCTTATTACAGGCTATGTCCAGATCGGTACTCCAGTTCAGTATTTTTGTAAACACCACACCAAGGTATTCGATCCGGTCACGGAGCTGTCGATCTCCCCACAGTGTGAGATAGTTTCTTTCGTTGATAGGAGCAACACGTTGACTATGAGTTCGGTGTCTGAAGAGAGTCATTTGAGTCTTGTTGGGGTTCGGAGTTACTCTCCATCTCCTACACCAGTTTTCAACTAGTCTAAGGTGATTTTGAGCATACCGAAGAACAGAATCAATGTCTCTCGCTGTTGTTACTAGAGCGGTGTCATCTGCGTAGAGCAAGGTAGTGGTATTAGTATAGTTAGGAGTTGGAAAGTCGCTATTGTATATATTGTATAATATAGGAGCCAATACAGAGCCCTGATATACTCCAGCTGTAGGAGTAAATGAGTCAGAGAAATAACCTCGCTCTCTGACCTTAACACGACGTTCAGAGACGTAAGATTGGATAAGTCTGACGAATGAGAGTGGTAGACCGATGTTCAATAGTTTCTTGACCAGTTCCACATGCCAAACTTGGTCGAAGGCTTTTTGAACACCCAGAAAATAACCAAGTGAAACTTTGCCGTCGTTCAGACTTTGTGTTAGATGTGTAACGATTTCTGTCAATGCCGTATTTGTAGAGCACCCTTCTCTAAAGCCGAATTGAAAAGAGGGCGGCGTTGTACTACGGAGGCAATATTTATATTTCCCACTCGCTTCCCCTCCGATGGTTTCGGCTTGAGGGGGCGTGTCGTTGTTTGTAGTAGCTTTTCATTCTTCGTGCTTGGCGGGAAGGTCGTTTGTGGATTTTAATATTGGTATCCATGTCTTGTTAATTTTCAGTCCTTCTTCTATCCGATTAAAATTATTTGGTTGCTTATATATTTTCACCGCTTTCCGATACAACCTTGAGTAGTACTGTGAAGTTTTGTCCAGCATATGTGTTTCTTCAAACTGTATCCGATGTTTTCCGCTTCCCAAAGCGTGTTCGGCAACGGCAGGTTTGTCGATATGTCCTAAACGACAATGGCTTTTATGTTCATTTATCCTTGTGTTTGTGTGTCTTTTTGTAGTTCCCACATATACCATTCCACATGGGCATGGTATTCGGTATACTCCGGCCGTTGCTAATGGGTCACGTTTGTCTTTCACCTAGAGACATTGTTCATCGCCTTGTGTATTTCTCTTCTGGTAAAACCATTAGAGATGAGCGCTTTTTCAATATATAGAAGTTCACTTTGGAGCTGTTGTGGTTCACAAATTCTCTTCGCTCTCTCCGCCAGAGTTTTGATGACACCTTGTTTTTGGCTTGGATGATAATTTGAGTTCCTGTTTAGGTATCTGTCCGTGTGTGTAGGTTTTCGATACACTTTATGTCCTAAGTAACCTTCCTTTCGATTTACTAATACATCCAGGAACGCTAGTTGTTAATCTTTTTCTCTTTCCAGCGTAAATTGAATATTTGGATGTAGTGTATTTATATAAGCCAGGAAATCGTTAGGTTTTTCTACTCCGTGACCCCAAATCACAAACGGGTCATCATAAAAGCGTATCTAGATCATCAGATATATTATTTGTATTATTTGTATCATTCCTTTCATAATAAAAAGCAGCTTTACTGATATTCATTATTTTTTAGGTACGTTGGCAGATGCTTTGGATCAGAAAATAGCAGTACCATATGAAAAGATTCCCAATTTTCCTCAAAGTACAGTAAAGGGTCACACAGGAGCTCTCGTTTTCGGTTACATTGGAGGAGTCCCTGTAGTATGTATGAAGGGCCGTTTCCATTATTATGAAGGATATCCTCTTTGGAAATGTGCAATGCCCGTACGAGTAATGAAACTATTGGGAATCACTCATCTCATAGCTACTAATGCTGCTGGCGGACTAAATCCAAGGTATAAGTCACATTTTTAACATAATATAATAAAAAGGTTATTAGGCTAATCTGAAATTCTCTATTCAACATGTTCTTGAATCTTCTCATAATTAAGCATCTAATCATAAATGGAAAATAAAATTCTTACAGGTTTTTATATATTTTTCTAACTAGTTCACATCTTCATATGAGCAGACCATTCAATCTATGTCGCACCTCTCTATTTCCTTGTCTACTTTCCATCGCGTTTATTTTACTGCTCTATTACTACAACATTCTCGCTGAGCCTTTCTCTTTCCAATCTCACTTTATTTTTCATCACTATCGACATCTTAGTGACGAGACTTCAATCGCTCTCGCTATGGAACATCAATTAATTCGTTTTACATCATCTAAATCAGATGGTGTGAAATATGCTACCGGCTGCCAAGATATGGGGATCAGGTACCTTGCAGGAAGTCTACATCTGAAACCAACCCAATTCTAAATCTACAAAAAGTCAAAGAATAGAAATATGGAAAAATTGATACAGAATTTTGAAAAAGAACTGATTTTAAATTGTGGAAAGTCTGATAAAAATACTACAAAAATTATTGGAAGTTTTGGACTGTGGTAAAAAAACGGGAGAATTACACTAGAAATACTCACAATTAATTAGCGTGCTAGACTCTGCAAACATAGAAGACTTTCCAAAAGGCACGGAAGACAAACTTTTATGAGACCAATTAGACAGCGTTCCTGAGAAAACTTGGGTATATTTCAAAGACGAAGTAATCGACACTGTAAAGGATTATACACTATTAGCATTAGCATCAATGAAAAAACGGAATCATTCGAGCTGTGGGTGTATAGAAGAATTCTGTTCTGAGGTGTAAAATGTCATGGTTGCGCAACTTTAGAGAGTGGTACGGTAAGCAAGCAACTTTAGAGAGTGGTAAGAAGATATTATCTAGTTGAAGCCTGGACAATTACGGACGCAACTGAAAAAAGACTTGTCAACTTTATCGAAGAATGTGGAAAATATCATGGACACAACACTTAACAAACACGAAAACATTGAGAAAGATAAAAAAGAAAAGTAATACCCAACACTATGAAGGAAAGAAAAATGAGCTACTTTAGTCACTACTAAAAAATGAAAAATATGTATGTATGTATCGTAGAGACCACGATGTGAAAGAGATGATTTAAAGTATTCAGACTTAAGCTCTTTTACTTTATCATTTCACATTTTAGAATGTTAAATTTGATATATAAACATTTAAGTAAAATATTTTATATTTAATAGAATTTTAATTTTTATTTTTGTTTGTGTTTTAGATACAAAGTAGGAGATATTATGCTTATCAAAGATCACATTAACCTTATGGGTTTTGCTGGAAATAACCCACTTCAAGGACCTAACGATGAGAGATTCGGACCTAGATTCCCTCCCATGAACAACTCATATGACAGACAACTGATAAGAGAAGCTAAAAGGATAGCTAAAGGTCTCGGTTTAGAAAAGGATGTCCATGAAGGAGTTTACACCTGCTTAGGAGGACCTAACTTCGAAACGGTAAGTTTTGGGCTTTTTTTATTGTAGCCACTATCTTTTTATTACATTCTGTTCATAACTTGTGTTTATCAGGTTATCTTTAACCAGGGAACGATCGCACTAACGAGTTTTGTTTTCTATTCGATCGTGTATTAGGTTGTGTGTAACAGATAATTGAAGATACTTTGATTATGATAACTTACAGTAATTTTCGATGACTGCTGCACTAAACTGATTCTACATACTATACTTGTATCAAGCACTGAAGTAAATTAAATTAAAAGGTACTCTATACCAATATTTAATCTAATGGGATATTAGATTAAGATACACAAATATTTAAATGTATACACACTTACAAAAATTCATAGAGAACAGAGACGGTAAGATATGGCGAGCGTCCTTACGCAAAGACGACCCTGCCAGAAGTAATGTGGTTCCTCTAAAAATTTCACAAGCTCCCCATAAAAGGGTGGGTTAACTTTCACTTAAAAATGACAGGCAAGACAGTATGTATTTCTAAGAAGGTAAGGTTCTAACGAACATAGAAAATAACGGTACCCTTCTAACTAGAAACGTGATGAAATATAAATCCTTTTGGATTATATTTTCACAGAAACATACCATAAAATGCTTTCGACGATTTTGTTTGCCAAAATATCAAACAGAAACCCGTCTTAAAGCCAGAAAGAATTAACCAAGGATTACCTAAACCATCGTCTTGTAATAAGTAAATTCGTCCATAATTTGAGATAGTCGGTAGATTGCAATAACATTTTCTAATCGTAAACACAACCACCCGCGTATATATTTGCAAATACTGCCACGGGCGTCTCAGGCAACAGGGGTAAAGGGATTAAAAATAATTTAATATTTTAATTATAAAAAAATGTTACAATTTTTTTTTAAGTTATGAACAAAGGGAATAAATCATAAATTGTTAGATTTTTTCTAACAACGAGACAGTTCCCGGGTTAACATTTATGATTCCTATAACCAAGCTACTTTGGTTCTAGTCTCCTACCTGCTCGCCTTCCATCACTTACAGTCTATATAATTATAGTATTAAAATTATTAATATTCATATTTTCTTGTTGCAGGTAGCTGAGCTCAGAATGTTAAAAATGTGGGGAGCTGATACTGTAGGCATGTCCACAGTCCACGAAGTAATCACAGCTCGGCACTGCGATTTAACTGTTCTAGCTTTCAGTCTCGTGACAAACGAATGTCTTGTCGAGTATGATAACACAGAGTTTCCTAATCACGAAGAAGTGTTGGACGTTGGAAAATTAAGGCAAGAAGTACTCCAGAAATTTGTAAAACAAATCATAGAGTTCATCGCAACAACAAAGGAATTCAAACAATAATTCGTTTTAGGATTAACTGTAAATATGTAATTTTTAAATTATTTTTCGTAATATATTTAACTTAATGGCAAAATATGTGTCTTTATATTACAATATTTTTCTATACAGCTGTAGACTACTAATGCCAATGCCACAGACATTTTTATGTCACTATAACGGACAATAAACAAGAATCTCGAAGGTGTAACAAAAACAATAAATTAAGCATTTTCAGTTTGCATAAATTGTTAAACATGTGTTTAATGAGTTAGTTTGATTTAAAATAAGGTCTTTATTTTGTTTTAAATTAAAATTTTGAATAAAAAAAATTACAGCTAGTTTGGAATACAAAAAGATGTGTCCACAAAATTAAGAGCATTAGCAATGGATATAATAAGCATAAAAAAATATAGATCTGGAGATGAAATCACACAACTAAAAAAGGAAATTAAAGAACTAAAAGATCAACAAACGACTACAAAGATGAAATAAGAAAGCTGCGGGAAAAAAACGAAAAAAATAGAGAAATTGGAGAGGGAAAGTGTAGCATTTTCAATTTCATTGATTCTTTGAAGTATATTGAAGTCCCCTCGTATACGAAATATTAAAATCACCTTATATATTTTTGATAGATCTAAAAATATTTCGTACGTATTTAAACCCAAATATCTTTTCATTTCTTTGTAAATGCAGGCCATTCACGTTCCGACTTGTGGTACCACTTAGTAGGACTACTAGTTGGATGTTCGTCTCCACTCACGCTCCGACTTTCTATCCAACTAGCGGTCCAACTTCAGTTCTAGTTTGTTTTCACGATAACACTATGCAAAATATAATTAGGGGAAGGAAAATGGCAGCATTGTGCTTGTTATCCTTATATGTGTGTTATGATATGTATGTTTAAAAATTAGGTTTCGTTTCTCTAGTTATTTGTCTAGGGCTGAACTAATTAATTTTTTCAACTCTTGATTGTTATGACTTTTTAAGATGTAGGAAAAAATTATAGTTTTTAAAGATATGTGTAGGTATAAAACCTATATTCTATTATAGAAAGAAATAAAAACTTGTTTTAAACTGGAGCTGGGATTTATTTTGTTGTGTGTGTCGTATATTTTAATAGGAATAATTTTTCGTGCAATTGAAAGTTATTTTCTATTATTTATTTGCGAACTAGGCATCTTTGCTACAACTATGATTTAATTTCCATTCATTGTTTGTTGATAATTCTTTTGTAACCAATCCGAAGTGTTGGAAGTTGTACCTGTGTGGGAGTGTCCGAAATAGATCTAGAGAAAGGAAAATGATTTGTTCTAACAAAAAGTAGATGATGATTAAGAATCGTGTATTTTAATAATGGTAATTGTTGTGCAATTGAAAGTTTTTTGCAATTTTCTGTTAATAATAAATAAATCCCATACGTAACAGGTGCCGAAGGTCAACTGACCGAGAAAATTTTCGATCCAACCTGTGATCCGACTTCCAACTTCACCATTCACGCTCCGACTTAGTCGCCAGTCGGAAGTCGGATCTTCAAGTCGTCCCACTAGTCGTACCACTAGTTGTCCAACTAATCCAACTAGCCCACTCACGGTCCGATTTCAGATCCAACTGCAGAAGTTGGACCACTAGTCGTACCACAAGTCGGAACGTGAATGGCCTGTCTTAGGTCGGCCAAGTTAAAATAAACCATTTTAGAGTTGTTTATTTATTTTAGCTTCCTCGGCAAATTCTTGTTTTATCAGAAGCCGCAATTTTAATGTGTCGCAAAAAGATATGTACGTCGTTTCGTGGTGTCTTGTTATGTCAGCGTTTGTATGTATGCGTTCAATTTTAATAGAATTTCTTCACTCTCATTGTAGCAGCTTTGAATAGCGGTTCAACGTTATGTCCAAATTCACGTCGAATTTGTAAAGTGTTCTGTTTTCGTCTATTATTATGAAGAATATAATGTAGCAGTTTGTTATTGGTTTTGTAGCAGTAAATGCTTCAATTATTAATGTTTTGAGTGAGGATTGGAGGACATCCTCGCTTTGTTTTTTTTTGTTCCTGTTTTTATCCAAGGCTTTTTGGAGATGGAGATTTTCGTAATGCAGAGAGAGTGGAGCCCTTAGTTCCAGGTTGGAGTTATGGTTTCAGAAACTTAAGTGTGATCATGTGAATTAAGGTAACATTTTGTTCAAATTTTAAACTAAAGACAGACATTTTTTTATAAAATAATAATTGCTTTCGTTGACATTTAAAATTGTAAATTTTAGGTTTTGAGTAAAGCTGTCAATTTGTGTTTAGTTTTTTTTTAAATTCAATGTTAATATATGACAGCTCGTTTTAGTATTTTTGATGTTGTTTTGTTTTTTTTTTGTTAAAAGGTTAACCTCCATGCAATTGTGTAAGTTTTGTAGCAATGGAGTTTGTTAATGGATGACACATGCAAGTTTTTGAATTTTGTATTTTTCCATGTAACTGTTTGTGGTGACACATAAATAAATGTTAAATTTTGTTGTCTTAACATTTTATTTATTATTTTTTTGAGCTAACCCTTTTTGAGTTTATTTGAAAAAGATATGTTTTTTATGTTTTGATTTGTTTTCTAATTATTTCCCTAGTTACAACCAGTGGTTGTAATAGGCATAATTAGGCACCTCAAGTGGCGCCCTATATTAAATTCCTTGAGGTGTTTCTTGTTTATTTTTATTTTGTTTATCCCAAGAGCCCTTTATTTCATTTTTTTGTAGTTGCCCTATTCCAATGCCCTTATCTTTTACTTATCCACGACCCCAGCTCTCCTACGAAACCCTGAGTGTCCGTTCGCACAAGTAACGAATTTTTTGCTTGCCCTATCTTCACCCCCAATAGTTTCTCCCCCAATTTTCTGCCTCCCGTATTAATGCCCCCTGTGGTAGGCAAAATACTGTCGTTACAAAAGAAGGAGGAGAAATGTAATACTATAAGGATTAAAAATTGATACAAATGATCAAAAGTAATGTAAGAGGCTATGGAGAATTTTATGAAAAAAAAAACTACAAGTATCAGTAGTTTAAAAAGGAGCAAGGAAAATAGGAGAAAACACTGCGAATACTAGAACTTTAACAGCGTGGAAAACAAAATCGAAGTGATAAAAAATTAAAATACAAAAAGGACGAACGAATCTATACAAATGATATATCAAAAGCAGAAAGAATTATACAAAAAGAAATTTCTGTAGTAAGGTTATGGCAGAGAGATATACTGGAAAAAAATATCAAAATATGATGCCAGAAACTAATCATACACGGAGAAATATGGACATGGAATAACAGCCAACAACAATTAGTAAAAGAGAAAATGTAAAACCAAAAACTAGCAGCACAACGAAAACTTAGCATGCATCGAGTGAAGATAAAACATAGAAAAAGAAGACTTCTATAATCAAATAGATACAGTATTTGAAAATATTCCCAAATACGATCTGAAAGCAGTGCTAGGTGATGCTAATGCAAAAATAGGGAAAGAAATACGTGTCCACCATAGGAAAGAAAGTCTCTGCATTATCGAACAAAAACGAACCATTATCAACCCAACTTCAAACAACAAGATTTACTATCAGGATAACAGAAATGCGTGAAGATCGTCCGATTCTCTATTGAGTTGGGTTAGTTTACTGTAGTTAAAAATTTTCCAGCTTGATTACAGGTTACTTCTATGTTGGTTCTAATAGTCACACAATTAATGCATAGATGGCGCAGAAAGATGGCTAATACTTAATACTCTAATAATAATTATTATTAAATATAAACTTCAGATTAACTGTATAACAAGTTTGACAACATAAGCATAATAATAATAAAGCTCTTCAAAAATATTAACATATTAACTATATTTTCAACAATTTATAATTTGTTATACAATAAATTGTTTAATTTAGCATTGTTGCCAAGCATACGTTGTTTTCTTCTGACAGCTCAGCCTGAATTTAACTTTGTTAACAAATTAATATTAGTCAGAAGGTATTTATTAAAAAAATTATAAATGGGCAAAAATACACCACTATTTATTATTTAGTATTCTAGATTCTTAACACTTCTTATTCTGTTAATTAATAATAAATAATTTTGCTTACAAACTACAAATATTTTGTAAGACTGGCAACAGTGTTATAAGAATTATAAGTCCAACTGTGTTACAGTTTCCTTCTTTTTTAGTTTAGGATCTTTTACATATCTCGCATAGATGGCGCAAAATCAGACTAAATTAATAATAAAATATAATATTTATTGTAAATTATTTGATAGTAAATTTAATTATCAAATAAACTAAATACAATGATTAAAGCGAAATTTGAGTACCTCTAATTTGAAATTAATTTATTAATAACTAACGTTAATTAAGTATCGACAAACATGATATAAGGAAACATGGTGGATTTTGGTCGGCGCAGAAATGTGCAAAAACGAGTCCACCTAGTGAGCATACCTTGTTTCCTTATATCATGTCGACAAACTGCCAGGAAAACTTTGGGCCTTTGATGACAGATGGCGATAGTAGGTTATTTAATACTTAAATAAAATACAACTGTTTAAGATATATTCATTACGTTGAAATCATATTATTGTTGCTATAAAAGACTAATATTTTATAAAAGAATTTCGGTTTTTAATTTTCTTGAAAATGTTAATATTTACAATTTGATCAAATCACCATTTTGTGGGCATGTACCTACAAAGTATAGCAATGAGATACTGACGTAGAAAAAGAAATGCGGTGTGCGTTGTGGGTGATTGATATGGACATTAATTATTAAATAAAATATTTTTTCAAAAGTTAGTTCTGTTTAAGGGACGCGATAGAGGGAATATTAATTACAGGTTATAAAAATTGGGATAGGGTCTTGGAACCTTGAAATGGGAGTACCGGTACGGAACAAATACCTATAGGTATACGTTAAGCTTTGCAGACGATTAAGTAGTGATTGCACAAGACCAAGACGACCTCAGCTACATGATGAAGAATCTGCAAGGAGAATATACCAAGGCTGGCCTAGATATTAACCTCGCGAAAACAGAGTACCTATCAAATGAAGAAGACGTAGAAGATCTATAGATTGATGACAACGTAACAATCAAAGTAAAGGATAAATTCAAATACTTAAGGTTTATAATCACGAAAAATGCAACAACAGAGGAAGAAATTACACAAAGATTAGGACAAACAAGAACAGCAATCCGACAATGTGTTAAACTAATGATGCCACAAAATTCATTTGATTTGAACGCACTCAAAAGTTTGGGGGGATTTAGGGCTGCATATTCCCCTTAAAATTTTTCGTTGCACTTAGATTTTGTTGTTTCTTTTTTATGAAAAATGTGGGCAAACTGGCTATGAGGTGGCAACTTTGCCCCATGTAAAATACAGAATTTAAACTGAATTTGAATACTAAATGAAAGTGTATTTTCAAAATAAAAACATTATTGCCATCGTAGAAAAAGAAAATTTCACACCGAGTTGGTTTCGTTTTCTTCTTTCCTTTAAAGTTTTCTTAGTGTCCTGCATTCCTCTTGCTACTCTGCTTTCCTTTTTTGAGTTCCAGCTTTATTTTCTTAAGCCTTTCCTTTTCTTCTATTTCTGCTTTTGCGCTTCTACTAGTTCCATCTTGAAAGCGCTTGAGGTCAAAACTGCAGCTGGTCCTTTTTTCGCTTATTTTCTCGTTTGAAAATATTTGCTTTAGGGATTGGAACAATATCCTGTAGGCTTACAGCAAAAGTATATAGTATAGTGCCCCTTGCCTTGGAGTTGCTGATTAAATCACATGTAGTACTGAAATAAGGCAGTGGACTGGGCTGGAATGTTGAAGTACTTGGCTTTGGCGAGACTTTTGAGATTAGAACGAATGTAGAGTTTGGATCTCCAGATCCTACAGTGACATTTTATCTGTGGTTATTGAAAAACATAGGAATTGAAGCGTTGGATGCAGAGGTTGCTGGTCGGAAATCTATCTCTCCAGAAGGCGGGTACCCTTTACTTGCAAGTGGTGTCTCTTGACGTCGAGAAATCTTTTTCTGGCACCACAGCAGAAGTTTCCTCTTGGTATTCAACACCCAGTTCTTGATTTACAACTTTTGGAGCTGTAAGTGCAGCAAAATCCACGTCAGTAAACTTCTGTCTGCTTATAGAAACTATGCCACATTTTCCAAACCTCTTTACCGCAATAGTTGGAGTATCTTCTGTCTGAAGAAAAATCTTTCGATCGCTTGAACATAATAAGAAGTGAAGGGCCCCATGAAAGAAACATCGAGTTGCAAGCTTATGACTACAGTGGGGTGGGGGAAATGCAAACTACAGTTGTGTGAATTTCTCTAGCCCTTTCGATGAAATCTAGATTTTTTGTATGGGTGGAATGTCCATAAAGTATGAGAAAAACTGGGTCGTCTTCGGATGGCTTCATAAACTTCAAGAAATGGTCAAACCATTGTGTGAAAATCTCAGTTTGCATCTACCCTTAAGGATGACAAACAAAAGCTTCCACTTTCATCCGCTGTCTAAAGAAAATGATAAAAGGAGGAATGAAAACTCCCCCAGCTGACAGAAACTAAAAATGTGCTGAGAACACCTCTCTTTGCAGATATAACAGATCCGACTTGCCATTGCCCTTTTAGAGCAAAAACCTTTGAAGACTTTGACTGTACAGTCATAAGTTAAGTTTCATCAACATTGTAAACCCTCTGAGGAGGATACAAGTGATGTTTCTGAACATCCTCCAAATGTCAAAAAACTTGGTTACATTCGTTTTGTTAAATGCTTGCGCCCTTGCTGCTGCAGACGCCTTAGGTTTTCTTAACACAAGCACAGGATGGCGCTTTCTGAACCCAGTTACCCGATCTTTCCTGCTAATTTCGTTTCTTTATTAACACCATGGAGGATGTTATTCCATTCAGTAAATTGGTAAGCAAGGCTGCGCAAATCAGCTACAGTAATTCCAAAAGAACGTACCTCCATCTCCAAGAGATAATTTCCCAACTGCTGTTCTTGTTCTTCGTTAAAAACAGCTCAAAAATGGCCTAATACTTTTTTATTGTCAGTGACGTCTTGATTTTTATTTCGTACGCAACGTTTTATTGTGTTCCTAGGCACAGTATAAGTTTTAGCAGCCGTTTGATTCCGGCATTATGTCTTTCTTTACGGCATAGATTGCTCTTTGGATCGCTGCGGGGTCCCTTGACTGCTGATGACTCTTCCTCCGATATTTTGACACCATCGCTACACCATAAAAAAAAAATTTTAGTATTACATGTTAAATAGCATTAAAATATGAAAGTAACACGGCGTTTTCACCTTAAATAAAGCTACAATAAAGTGATTTTGGAATATAATTACTAGTCTACCTACATTACTTGCTAAAATAGACTTGTTGCATGTGAAAATCCCTAAACTAGACTTTAATCCGTAAGAATTCAAATAAAACATGCTATTATGCTGTTTGAAATGCTCAATAGTTTTGTAAACAACATACAATACTATTATTTTTCATGAAAATATATTTTACTTTATGTCGGTCAGAGTGGCCACAGACGTGGCTACTTGCTCGTAAGCGTCATTCAGCAGAATTTCCGATGAAGTGAGTTTTGACAAGAAGAGGTGTGCGGCTGAAAACTGCAAATTCATCACGCGCACAATGTGTACTAAATGCAAGACACAATGCAGTGAATTGTAAGTTACATATATTTGGCGCAGCTGAGTGGTATTCATTGGAATCTCGTATTTATAGTCACCATATAACATGTATACTTTATTTGTATTAATTTCATCTTCGGCGTATTTATTAAAAATTATTTTAACATAAAAGTTTATACTTCCTACGTGCTCATCAAAGCGCAAAACGTTTTTAGGCTGTCATGTGAATGTCAAAATAAAGAAGGTGTCAGTGTCAGTGAATTGTGATGTCAGTCAATCATTACTGTCACCGCTCAGCTGTGTAAAATCCTGAAAAATTGATTTTGATTAAAAATGAGGGGTGTCCAATAGTTACAGAGTAGATGAAAACAAGTACATTATCACCGAATAGAAGGCAAATCTTTTAACTTTAACGGATTTCTAACATTAAGTAAAATGGCTATGTATAAACGTTTCCGTGTTTATGAAAAATCGGATCCTCCCAGTCCCCATAGTGTTCTCCTAGAACGTAAAGGAGAAGAAAATACGCTGTTATTTGAATCCCAAGCAGTGGCAGTACTCTGTAAGTACCTAAAATTACGCTCATTTATAAGTAGTGCAATATATAACATTTTACAAATTTTTAAATCAAAACAAAGGGTAAAATATTTTGCATTAAGTACTTCATATTATATGAGCACCACTTTTTCATCTTCCTCCTGTCCCCTGACATTTCTTGAGTGTCCAATTGAATAAATTTTGCTTCTTTAGAAATTTTTCATGCCAATACTTCTGATATTTTATTAATTATGTTGTATTAAAATTAAGATTTCACTTCCAGTATATCATTACTTTCATTTATTTTACCATAACAAATTATAATGTGGCATATTTTTTTGCTATTATTAATCCTTTTATTTATTTTATGATCCCATGTTTTACCTCATCTGTTATTAATTACCTAGTTTTTAATCTTTTTATTGGCTCTAAAAGTTATGGTTTATTTGTGCAAAATATTTTGATACCATAAAAGTTTTTAAAAACTCTGTTTGTGAAGAGCAAGTATTTACATTAATTATTACAGTTGCACCTAATAAGACAATAGAAATTTTACAATTTTTTGGGTTTTGTATCATTTTTAAATAATGGTTAAACCCAATCAATGACTTAAAAACTAACATCTACATTTTTGAAACATGTCACACTTTTTGCCAATGATAAATTTTAATTGAATCTATTACATTATTTGTTATGTTTTGTAGCTGTCCAAGAAACAGAAGCTGTAAAAAAGCAGTATACAAAAATCATAGATGCTTATGGCTGTTTAGGTGTTCTCCAGCTAAATGCTAGTGATACTACTACACTTTACTTGGTTATGATAGTAGGATGTTTTTCTGTGGGAAAAATGGGAGATTCTGAGATATTTCGTATAACCCAAACCCAGTTTGTACCTTTACATTACTCACAGAATGAAGATAGGGTTGCAGAAGTAAGTTTCTCAAATCTATAATTTTGATCAAGTTGAATGCCATCTATAACCTGTCCTGACTGACATTGTCATTTGTGTACAGCTTTGTTATATTTTTAATACAGTAGAGAATGGAGGGAATGGAATTTTGAAATAAAGCAAATATAAGGTTACTATTAATCTTAATTTATTGATTTGTTCAGAGGTAAATGGTTAAAAGTGGAAACCACAAAAAAACAATATATTGTAGAATTGAGGCCATTTCCGGAAAAAGGGCCCATATGCCAAATGGCACTTTTGAGAAAAACGCAATTGAAAATTTAACAAGTATTTTGAAAACAAAGATTAAAACTTTGAACTTTATTGAAAGCTAAAATAAAAGTATTGTATATAAACTAAAGTTACAATAAGATGTTTTAAAGATATAGACACATTTTTATGTAAATATAATTTTTTACATTAGCTTGTCATGGGCCCTTTTTCCACAGATCATTTGCGAAAGTATGAAATAAGTTTAAGAAAATCTTTATTTTGGCAAATGATATAAAAAATAAACATTAAAACAAGTTATTACTATACAAAGAAAGTTATACAGAAACTTCTTCTAGTATCCAGCATATCCATTGTTCGTCTTCTTGGGACAAAAACGAAAATAGATCTCTCACCTCTTTTTCTTTCTCCGGCTTTATTCCAACGACTGGAACAGTTTGAAGAGCAATGTTTGTGTTTATGTTTCTTCCTTTCCAAGTTGTGAATGGTATGTAATTTTCCATGTATGTTTGAGAACAAACCAATGTTCCATCTTTTCTTGTATTTCATTTGTGCATACTGTTGAATGCTGAAAACAAGTCCCTTTGTTTTTGGCTTTTTAGAATGAGTAGTTCTAAACTTTCAGTCCAATTTTTAATTAGCGTTCTGTCCATGACAACATTAAAAGGAGATGGATTTTTCTGACAATGCACTATTGCTTTCAAATATGGCTTTGCCGTCCCTATCTATTCCTTCTTTTTTAAAGATTACTTTACCAGCCCAAAATTGCGATCGCACTGGTTAAAGGAATGAGGTTAAATCTTTGTAAATGGGTATATTTAAATGATTTCAGTGACATCGCCATTAATTGTTTTGCACAAGCAGTCATAGATGAATGAAATAACAGAATCGGCGCATCTTTTTTCCTTGTCCTTCCATAAATGTATACATAAAAGACAACCCATCATTGTGAATATGTATATTAAAGAGATAACATCAAAGTAGACATTGATAAAACTGCACTGTTACGTTGAGTTTTGGAACTGGTAGATTTTGTCCATAGCCAAATTCAATAACAAGACAACTACTGTCAGTTTTACTTTTTTCTATCTGATTCCTTCTCATTGCTATATGTCGCTTTACTTTCACATTGTGAAGGCAATAGGAAATTGCACAGGCATCGTTAGGATTAATAGATAGTTTTTGTTGACATTCTGTGCTGAAATCACATATGTCTGTTTTGGGATTGTTGAAACTGTATGAATGCAGTGACTTAAAATACTGAAAGTATGTCTTGTATTTCATCTTTAGATTTGTGCATGTCTTTTCTTTATAGTATTGTACAAAAAGCTCATACAGCTTTTTAATATTTAATTCAGGATTCTCAAAATATTTTAGTTCAGATTTGTGTTGGGAATAATGACTTTTCTTAAACGGAATAGTTTCCTAATGCTCTTTAAGCAAGTCATGAATATTGGGAGCCAATTTGTGGGATCTGTTGGCATGTGTTCCTCGCTTTTCTGTAAATGAATCCCCCTCAATTACCTTCTTTTGTACTACACGAATGCACTTCAGAGATAATTGAAAAAGTTTTTTTGATATAGATATAGTCAAGATAGTTGAAAAAGTTTAGAAACTCGATATGATAAACTAGAAACATATTTTACTATTCTTTTTGGTAAACTGTTTATAGCTTTTGATAAACATCCCAAAAACGCTTAAATTTTAACCTTCTATGCCAACTGTTCAATTATTTCAAATGTAAATAAACATACTATTTCGTTTTTGTATATTCAATACATTTTAAAAGATTTAATCTGTTTTAAAAGAATTGCCTGATAAGGCAATTATATTATTAATGAGTTAACACTAAATAGATAAGTCTATTTTTATGCTACATATGTTGATTTTCAAATACAATATCAATTTTATTTGTCATCAAATAATTATAATGAACATATATATGGATTAATAACAACAAACAAAAAATTATAAAAATTACATTATAGACAAATAAATAGAAGAAAATATTGATTCATAAAAGGATAAAAAATAAATAAATGCAAGAATAAAAAGCTTACAAAAAGTATATATATACAGAGGGAAGGAAATTGGTCTCCCTGAAAAATACTATCCCTATGGAAAAATTTCTAAAATATTGCAAAAGCGCATTCACAAATCATGTAATTATTGTGTATGTATTGTGTTATGTATTTTTGAAGATTTTTGACCATTTTTACCTGAAAGGGTATTACAATTCCAAAAAGGGAACAATTATACAGGGAAAAGTATCAAATTTATGGCAATAATATGCAAAAAAAGAGATTTCTAATTCGTAATATTAAACTTTTATTATCAATCCTAAAATTTTTTGTTTTCCCTACTTGCCCTATTTGTACATACATTTTTATCTTTATCTCTTATTATTCTTATAAATTCTTCCTTGTTGATTTGTTTTTTAATAATAAACTCTTAAAATGAAATAACAGATTTATTTCAACATTTGGCATTACAAGAACCCAAATGAAATAAAACATTTTATTCAACATAAAATCATATTCTTAACAATAATTAAAAATAAAATCAGAAGTAGATATGTAAGAAACAATTGAATTGAAGCTCCATCTCTTGCAGTGGAAAGTGGTCATCCAAAGCAATATCGTTCTCTGAATCATCTAAGATTTCTGGCTTAACAGCTTGATGAAGTGTGGAAGTATATGCTTCAGGTAGATCTTCTAAACTAATTTCAGAATGGGCAATACTTTGTCCAGCTGGAACATTTGTTTTCTTTTTCCTCCCACATCCTTTCTTTATCTTTTAAATATTGAATAAAAGTGTTTTCAATATCTGACGAACTTGATTTATTATTATTTGTTGTATGACTATCAGTTATCACACTAGATTGCTGAGTTGTTTTTAACCACTCCAAGAGCAGTGTTATATCACAAAGAACGATACCACATTTCCTAAATCCCAACTTTAATATTTCATCGCTATTCTTTTGTATTTTTTTGATTAATGATGGTAAAAGCGTTAGAAAATACTGTTTCTTAAGTATATTTGATCTACTTCCCACATGAGTTTCCTTATATTCAGATAAAATTTTCCTTCAGGCCTTTTTCATTGTGGCAAATAGTGTAACATCTAGCGGTTGTGTAACGTGGGTGCTATTCAGAGGCAAACATATAAAATGAATGTCGTGTTTTCGACACAAATCCAGGACTTCAACATTAATATGAGAATACAAATTGTCTCCTAAAACGACCTTCTTTCCCTGAATTTTTTTTCAAGCCTGGGCAATAGAATAGTGTTAAACCAATTTGCAAATGTCTGTGATTAGAACCAACCAGATGCAGTATTTGTATAACGCGTACCAGAGGGACCATTTTCAGTCCAGGTGTCCCACAAATGCTTGGATTTGTACACCACATAAGGAGGTAGTAGCTCACCAGCTGCATTTCCACACATCATAAGAGAAATGCTATTTTTAGAAGTTACAAATTCGTTCAGGATATTTAACCCCACGTTTAGTTAATACCGTTTTTTGTCCGGGATCATCTGTTAAGGTCGTCTCGTCTTAATTAAAAATAGCATGTGGCTGCACACCAGTTAATGTTTGTTTTAAATTTCCTTATTAAAAACCGTTAAAAGATCCTTATGACAACTTGAAAATGATTTGACCCAATCCATACCAGGAGTATTATCCTTAAAGCGAGTTATTTTTTCCTTGGCGATTTAAATGAGTCTTGATATTATTTGTCGTAATTTCATTCCAGTAACAGGAAATCCAGCATCACCAAGGCTATGAATGCATTGTATGAAGCACCTTTCCTCTTCATAAGAGAATATTGATTGGCATCCATGTTTTCCAGCGTTTACTCCTTTTAATTTGTAAGAAGTAGTTCTCCTTGGAATATTAAAGGCTTCAGCAGCAACTCTTGTACTTATGCAAAGTTACCCTGCTCAGTGCAAAGTAACCCCGTTTTACGATACACAGATATATCAGATTGTTGAATAACTCAGATATAAACCTATTTAACATGAGTTTGAGTTAACTTAAGAGGTCTCTTGTACTTTCATAAGTTTATTAATTCTGCATTATTGTATTTTTACTGTTATTGAGTTTATCCTGTTAATAAATAAATAAATAAATAAATAAAATCATAAGCATGGGTGTTCGTTTGGAGGATGCGTTCCCCTTGGAACCGTATTGGCATTGTATTTAAATTTGTTTTCATTTTGACACCGTTAAAAAGAAGATCTTAGCTGCATTGGAATTGAATTTAGTTTCAGACATTCTCTACTGCCATTTTATTGCATCTATCAAGTGTATACATACTTGATAGATAAATATATATATATATATATATATATATATATATATATATATACTAACTTTCTTTATATAAGTAAACATTATTAAAATATAAAATATATAAGGCAGAGAAAAACATTTTAATTATTTTTTAGGTAAGAAAACTGCTTAATTCTGGTACATTCTACTTTTCACATCCATGTGCTCCAGGAGGTACTCCTCTAGATCTAACTTTGTGTGCACAGAGAAGAAGTAAAACCTCTAATACAGACCACAGGTTCTTCTGGTTAGTATCATTCTTCTTTTAACTGCCCTTTTCTATTAAAAATTGTCACTAAATTATTTCCGTATGGATTTTTTTCTTTGAGTAATATTACCATGAAAAGGTTTTATTATTTTAGTCTTATTTATCTGTTAAGTTATTACAATTTTAGCAAATGGATAATTTGGTATTGCATTTTTAAACTTCGTAATTCGATGCTGTAAATCATAACTGTTTACAAATATCTTAAAGTTTTGTTACTATTTCTTAATATCTATTTAATATTGATTGAAGGGTAAACTAAGCAGAGATAGCCAGATATGACAAGAAAATTCAGTTGTGCCTGCTAGAGGTAAACTGAAAACTGAACTCTGAGCTCAATAAACTTCAATATTCAATATATAAGATGTCATTTCGATAGGATACTAAAAATTCCATGGACTAGCAGAACCAGAAACGAAGAAGTTCTTCGAAGAATGGGACATCAACGAACTCTATTAAATATTATTAAGAGGCGTAAACTAGAATATCTTGGACATATAATCATAGGACCAAGATATGAGTTCCTTCGGCTAATTCTCAACGGTAAAATCGAAGGAAAGAAATGGATAGGACGGAAGAAACTCTCTTGGTTGAGGAATTTGCGGCAGTGGACAGGTTTGACAGCGGATCAATTGCTACACGTAGCGCAAGACCGAGATCAGTATAATGATATTATAAGCTTGGTAGTCGCCGACGTTCCGTAGGGATATGGCACTCTAAGAAGAACTTATCAGTCAACCATGTCAAAAGCACTTTTTAAATCCACAAAGCACATGTATGTAGGTTTTCCATATTCAATAGACTTCTCCAATTATTTGTCTGATCTGTTCGTCTGCCATGTTCGCTTTTTCCTCGATTTTATTTTTTATGACTGCCAATTTCCGATATCCGAAAGAATTATTTTGGTGCAGCTTATGAACAGCCATTGATTGTCAACTCAATTTAATACAAATTTATGCCCTAATAGCTGATGAGGAGGAACAAGAGGTAGAAAATACTTTTACATTTAACCTAATAGAAGGACGAAGGAAATAATTAGATGATACAACAGCAAATAAATTTGAACCACCGAAGTATACATAAAAAAGGTTTTTTTTATTATTCACAGGCAATTCCTATTTATTTCCCTGTTTGTTCCAGTAATTCCTAATTTGTTTGCATTTGAATTAGGCCATTCACTTAATCAAACATGATTTTGACTGTTTTAATTGTTTTCCTGAAAACTACAGGTTCAATATCTTTATTACTTTCTAGAACCTACATATTGTTTGTACATCTCTTCTTTTGCTTTCAGGCTATTCAATTCTACCAATTTCCTAATATATCGAAATGTATTTTCAAAATTTAATGTACCGGGTGGTCCAATAAGCCGATCTCTCGGCTATATATCAGAAACTATTCATGTTATAACTTTAGGAAAAAAAAATCCTTAGTAAAAGTGGTCAAGAGAAATCGCTGGAAATAACTTTCAAGTTTCTGGGTTAACAGCTAGGGGGCGTAACCTGTGAATAAATATTTGAAAACCAGTTTTTTGTGAAATATGCCAATTATACCAAGTGTTAAATAAGTAAACTAGAAAGAGGCCTAAATTCCACACAAAGTTGTTCAAGTTCTTTTTTTTATTTTTTCAAATAAAGGGTGGGGGAGAGTGGGAAAGTATTTGTGGATAAATACCTATAACTTTGGTTTGGATCAACCGATTTTAACGCAATTAGTGTCATTAGAAAGAGTATGGATGATTTAATTTATATCTACTATAAAACAATTGAATTTTGTTTTAATTGTCTTGGGTAGAGGGTACTTTTGAATAGAAAAAATTAAAATTTATTTTTCTTTAAAATGTTTAATGGAAACACCTATTTAATATAAATTATAATGGAACTGGATAAAGGTCGTAACAAAATGGCGCAAACCGTATGTTGATAGCTTTTGTAGAACTCGAGATATGAATAAAAACGCATAAACATAATTAAGTATAGTATTGACTCACCCTGTATTATAAATTAAATTAAAAAATAAGTCAGTAGGTACTTTCAAATTTTTTTATAGTAAAAGAATCTTAATGTTGATACATATTTTGACCATTGGTATTTTATATGATTAAAAATAGTTTTTTCGAAAGTGTTATATTATAATCCGAATTGAAGATTGCACTTTTTGACTCACCTTTTATTATAATTGAAAATTAAATATGTGAAAAATTATACAAACATCTCGATCATTAAAACTTAATGTCCAATTAAATGTTCAAATTGTTTTCCATCATTGTTCACACAAAGATGTATTCTTTCACGCGTAGACTTAACAGCTGCTTCAATCTCAGCTGTTGATATACTATTTATTCTGTTTATAATGCGCTGTTTCATCTCGACTCGCGTGGTTGGTCAAGTTTGGTATACTAAGTCATTCAATCTTCCCCACAGATAAAAGTCCAGATATGTTAAGTCTGGAGATTCCCCTTGCAATCTATTTATTTGGATCACTTGCATACAAATAATCTCGAACTCATCTGGAAAAGTGCACAGGATACCCATCAGGTTGTAATACCATATCTCTTCTTGTTTGTAAGGAAATATCTTCCAATAAAACAGGCAACTGATTTTCCAGAAAATCCAAATATTTTCGCCATTTAAAGTTATATTAAAGAAATATGGACCTACGATCTTTCCATCAGCTATACCACACCAAACATTAAGACTCCTTCTACCTTGAACCTGCACCTCATGTATCCAATGCAGATTTTCTTTAGCCCAATAATGCATATTATGCAGATTAACACCACCCGCACTATTAAACGTAGCCTTGTCTGTTCATAAAATCTTTGATATGATACGCGATTGTTCTTCTAGCAGACCTAACATCCAATTGCAGTAATCCAGCCTTGCATCAAAATCTCTCATGTAAAACTTGGTAGAGAACTATATGATAAGGATGCAGTCTAAAGAAAACAGAACAACAAATATTGGTGAAAAAGAAACCACTATATTTACAAAAATCTTGAAAAATCTACAATTGTTTCACAAGATAAATCGTGCATAAGTATTTTTAAGAAACGGATAAAAGGATGAAAGCGCCGTGTTGCCGTTGTTATTGGAACATTAAAATAACAGTTGAATCTAAAGTTTAAAGGGAATTCCAAGTTTCTGACCTAAACGTTCACTTTATAATATGAAAAACCAACCTGTGATGTTTTAAAATTCTTAGAACAGTAGTTTTGGGTATGTTTAATTCTATAGAGATTTGCCGACTACTTATATGTGGATTCTGTTGAATTAAAGCAAGAACATTGATTGTATTATCTTCGGTCATACCTCTACTACATAGTTTAAAACAAGGACTATGAAAAGTACCAGTTTCTCGTAATCTTCTTACTTTTCTTTCAAATACTTCTTTGCCATAATGTCTCCTATCTGGATATCTTACAGAATATATACGTGAGGCAATAGCGGCATTTTGGTGACATTCGAAATAAACTCCAATCATATGATACAATTCTGCATTTGATATACTCATCACGGATTATTAGTACTCATTATTAATTACTGATATTACCAATATTAATATCTATTAAAAAAAGTGCAATCTTCAATTCGAATTATAATATAACACTTTCGAAAAAACTATTTTTAATCATATAAAATACCAATGGTTAAAATAGGTATCAACATTAAGATTCTTTTACTATAAAAAAATTTGAAAGTACCTACTGACTTATTTTTTAATTTAATTTATAATACAGGGTGAGTCAATACTATACTTACTTATGTTTATGCTTTTTTATTCATGTCTCGAGTTCGACAAAAGCTATTAACATGCATTTTGCGCCATTTTGTTACGAATTTAATCCAGTTCCATTATAGTTTACAATAAATAGGTGTTTCCATTAAACATTTTGAAGAAAAACTAATTTTATTTTTTTCTATTCAAAAGTACCCTCTACCTATGACAATTAAAACTAAATGCAATTATTTTATAGCAGATGTAAATTAATTCATCCACACTCTTTCTAATGACACTAATTTCGTTAAAATCGGTTAATCCAATCCAAAGTTATAGGTATTTATCCACAAATACTTCCCCACTCTCCCCCACCCTTTATTTGAAAAAAAAAAAATAAAAAAAAGTACTTGAAAAACTTTGTGAAGAATTAAGGCCTCTTTCTAGTTTATTTATTTAACACTTGGTATAATTGGGCATATTTCTAAAAAAACTGGTTTTCAAAGTTTTCTTCACAGGTTACTCCCCCTAGCGGTTAACCTAGAAACTTGAAAGTTATTTCCAGCGATTTCTCTTGGCCACTTTTACTAAGGAATTTTTTCCTTATATATAGCCGAGCGATCGGCTTATTGGACCACCCGGTACATTGATATTATTTTTTGTAGGAATCGTATGTTACATGTACATTTAGTGAGATTTGGTGTAGACTGTAATAGTTGGCTAGTCAAAGCAATGTGTGGCTCAGTTGAAATGAGAACCGTATATGTAGGTACTAAGATTGCACTGGCTGCTATCATTTCTAGATTAAGCTGTGAAAGAGCCGGAACAAGGTAAGATTTTAAACTGTGTGGAAGCTTTTGCTTCAATAAACAAGTAGCATAATTTCTAATGCGTCTATATTTTAGATTTAATGTTAGGGGTACGAATGATGAGGGACATGTAGCTAATTTTGTTGAGACTGAACAGGTGATATTTTTGGATAATGAAATTTCATCGTATATTCAAACAAGAGGCTCTGTTCCTTTATTTTGGGAACAACCGGGAGTACAGGTAAGTAAAATATATAAAAGGTATGTCTTGTGTTTAAATGTAATAAACTGTAAATATTGCAGGTCGGCTCTCATAAAGTAAGAATTTCTAGGGGATATGAGACTTCCAAAGCTGCATTTAACAGGCACATGACTACTATAAAAGCTCGATATGGAAAACAGATCATTGTAAATTTATTAGGAACTAGTTTAATAGGTAGTAAAGAAGGAGAGGCTAATCTGAGTCAGGAATTCCAGGTATATATTTCTGTTATTTAATAATGAAATACATTTTATATTAACATATAAATATATATAATTTATAACATATAATTGATAACACCTTGGTACGCAGTATAATGACCTATGGAGCAGAAAATTGGGTAATAAATAAACGAAACAGGTCCAAAATCACAGCAACTGAAATGGAGTTCATGAGAAGAAGCTGCAGAGTGACAAAAATAAATCGCATCAGAAATGAGGAGATAAAACGAAGAATGGCAATAGAAAAAGGCGTACTCAGCTACACCGAAGAAAAACGTTTAATTTGGTATGGACATGTGAGAAGAACAGATCATACAAGGTGGATAGCAAAGATTTCGGATTGGAGCCCAATAGGAAGGAGGAAACGAGGTAGACCCCGAAGATCATGGAGGGATGAAGTGGACGAGGCCATGGAAAGACGAGAACTTAGAGATGGAGAATGGCAGAACAGAAAGGACTGGAGATGTTGGCTGAAAGAAGGAAGGCGGCGACAGCTGTAAAAATCCTTATGTAGATAGATAGATTTTATATTAGATCAAACATCTATATCATTAATTAAAATATAATAAGCTTAAATAAAAATGCGATGATAAAAACAGCTAAATCAATATGTGGAACTACAAGAAATAACAACAGAGGGAGACGTACATCTTGGTGGAACGATGAAGTGAAAAGAGAAATAAAAAAAAAGAAGAAGTTATGGAAAGAATACATAAAAGACAAAACACAACCAAAATATGAAAATTATAAGAGACAAAGAAACAAAGCTAAAGAGATAGTTAAGAAAGAGAAAAAGAAAAGTTGGGAAAAATTCGGAGAAAAAATGGAAGAAAACAGCACAGAAAACGTAAAATTATTTTATAGAACACTGAAAACCCTAAGAAGCAACAAAGAAACGAAACTAAAACAAATAATGAACAAGGAAGGAACAATAATAAAAGACGATAAGACAATAATGGAAAGATGGAGGGAACACTTCAGAGAAGGCAAGCCACATCAAGAGAGTATCCATGAGAAACATGGAAAATCCAGAAACTATAGAAAAAGAAGAACTGGAAGAAGCAATAAGAAAGATAAAGATTGGAAAAGCACCAGGAAGCGATGAAGTAGCACCAGAAATGATGAAATATATAGGAGTAAAAGCAAAAGAAAAATTGTTATACATATATAACTTAATATGGAAGATAAAAGTAATACCCAGAGAATGGACAAATGCAGTAATTATACCTATATACAAGAAAGGAAACACAAGAGACTGTAAGAACTATAGAGGTATATCACTACTATGTGTAGCAGCAAAAGTATACGAAACCATAATAGAAAGGAAAATCAGAAAAGAAATAGAACATAAATTAGAGGACGTACAAAGTGGATTCAGGAAAGGACACAACACACAAGACCATATATTCACCATCGTCCAATATCTCAAGTTCCTATTAGAAAAAGTGATTTTACCTGATAACCGGAGAGATTTTGAGGAGATTTCAAAGAAATACTTTGGTCACATTACCAAATTTGGAAATTACTAGATACATGGAAAAGAGCCGAAGTCGTAATGGTACCAAACAACAGAGTGATATCGGCCCGTTTAATTATTAACGATGATGTTGTTTGCGTAATTGATCTTGAACTAGAGAAATCTGATAACATTCCATCAATTTGACTTCAGAAGTAATCTTTTGGCTATTGACCAAGTGCATTGACTTACAGATATCATTGAAACATTAGAAAACAAAGTTGTGTGCTCTATCGCTTGTCTTCACTGCATATTACGTCATCTGCGGTTTTTTAAAGTTTAGTTTGTCTAGTCAGTCTTGTTTTTAAGTTTTCCAGAGTGTTTTTAATATTAAAATGTACTATGAAATAAAATGAAATTAAAAATTAATGTACTATGAAATATGTGATGCAATTTTCTGAACTTGATGTTTATAGAAACACCACAAAGAATCAATACATAGTGATGTGCCGCACATAGTATTCGATTATCACCAGGAGTGTCGTGGAGGAAATCAGGCAAACCTACAGAAACTGAAAAGTAAGCTTGAACAGCAGTTAAATGAGTTTGGTTTTTACCATGCAAATAGAAGTACAGTTCATAGGTAAGTAGTTGTCATTATCATATCTTTTATCCAACAAGTTTATTGAAATCAAGAAATTTTTAAGGTAATACGTATATTCGAGTTTTTATAACTATTGGTATAGTTGGCACGTAATTTCGTGAGAAAATTTACAGAGACCAAAACAAGCAAAATACTAGTAAAATGGCAACGCTGTTAGAGTTACCACTCCTTTATTGTAGTACATAGTAGTAGAACAGTAGCGTAGATATCTAATTTTAAACTAAATAAAAGTTTTTACTTTTATTTAATTTTATTTACCAAAAAGTTTCATTTTCTATAAAGCTTAAATAAAAAATATCGGTGTTTTTAACTTCTGTGATATATCTTGAGAGTGATAACACTAATCGACTCGACTGAACAGAACTTATTGTAAAATAATCTATATATATATCTATATAAAACATTGTTAATAATAGTAGTTATTCAGCGAGAATGACAGTGACAGTTTCAGTTGACATCCTCCCCTAAAACATTAATAATTTTTGTCCTATCAAGAAGTGTGTTTATACCCTGTTTTCAAAGATATATAAGTAAAATGAGAATATCTACAATTAAAATAGAAATAAAGGTTTCAACTAACACCTAATAAGTTCTTACTATCTACTCAGAATCGCTGTTATCACTAATATCACTCGTATCATCTAAATTTATATGTAATTTGGTTAATGCTGGTAAATATTTAACATAGTCATTTTCCACTCCGATCACATGTTTTATTTTTATTACATTTTTCCAGTTGGTTGCTGTAATTTTTGTGACTTCTCTTCTAATTAACTGGAGAACAATAGACAAAAAATTTTGGAGCAACGTTTCTTCTCATTATATTTCCTTTTTGAGCCCATATTAACTCTATTGGGTTCAATGTACAATAATAAGGAGGAAGTCTAAACACAGTATGCCCGTTACTACGAGCACAGTTGTCAACAACATATTCCTTTTCGTACTGTTTACTATGAACAACCTCCAACAATTGCTTTTTAATATAAGATGTCTCAAAATACAAATCTTCCGTGAATAAAAAATCCTGAATTTTTAATTTATTCCAACTATTATTTGAAGTTTTTTTCATTAATCTTGAATGATATGATGCGTTGTCCATGATAATCACACTATCTTTAAGTAATTTCGGAAGAAGACATTTTTCAAACCATGATTCAAAAATTGAACTTTCCATATCGTCATGATAATCCAGAGACGCGTTTTTAATTTGTTTTGCAGATATTAATATTGCATCGTCGACCCATCCATTTTCTCCACCGCAGTGTAAAATTATAATTCTCTTTCCTTTATTGGGCGGTACTGAGTTGAAACACTTTTTGTTATTATTTGTCCAACTTTTTTTTCACGGTGTCATGAGTATCATACCAGGTCTCATCTAAATAAACAATATTTCGTTTCATTTTTCGATACTCAGTTATCTGTCTGATATAATTGTTTCTTAAAGAAATTATTCTAGTACTTTCCATTAATGTCTGTCTCTTGTCGATAGTTTTGTACTTAAAATTATTGCCTTTAAGAAATAATCGAAGTGTTGTTGCTGAACACGAGAGAATGTACTTTCGAACTAATTCACTTCGAAGGCTTTCAATAGTTGGAAAAATATTAGCCGCATACATTTGGTATATTCAAGGAAGGTCAAGGCTCAACTAGAGCTGTAGCACCACTGATGATGATGATGATGAAGAAAATATCGAAATATTTGTCCTTTTATTCAATCGCATTTATGATACAGGTAAAATATCCCAAGATTGGCTGGAGTCAATATTCATCCCACTACCAAAAAAGCCAAACCCACAACACTGCAATGAGTTCCGTCTGATAAGCCTTATGAGTCATGCAGTAAAAGTCCTACTAAAAATCGCACATAATCGTATCTATAGAAAGTGCGAAACAATCATCGGAGACGATCAGTTTGGATTCAGAGCCGGCATGGGAACGAGAGAAGTCCTGTTCAGTTTACTAGTTCTCGCCCAAAAATGCTACGACCAACAGAAAGATATATTTATATGCTTTACAGACTTCGAAAAAGCATTTGATAGAGTAAGACACGACCTACTATTAGAACGTTTGCAAGAAGTCGGTTTAGATGGAAAAGACATCAAATTCTTAAAAAACTTGTACTGGAACCAAAACGCCAGAGTTAGGATCGAAGTTTCCACATCCGCAGAAGTAGAAATTAGGAGGGGAGTTAGACAAGGATGTGTTCTGTCGCCTCTGCTGTTTAATCTTTACTCCGAGTTTCTATTTAAAGAAGCATTGGGGGATTCCAATGATGGAGTCAATGTGAATGGCGTAAATATCAACAGAATCAGATACGCCGATGATACAGTGTTAATTGCGGATTCTGAGTCAGGTCTACAACGACTAATCGACAAGACCAACTCGACCTGTGAGCAATTTGGTATGAAAATAAACATTAAAAAAACCAAAGTGATGTCAATCCGAAAAAACCAAAACGTACCTCAACCTTGCACAATAAATGGGCACATCTTAGAACAGGTCAATAGATTTAAGTACCTGGGATGTTGGATCGATAGCAGCCTAAATCCTAATCAAGAAATAAGATCGAGAATAGAACAGGCCAGAAAATCTTTCAAAAAAATTTAAAAAACTGCTTTGTGATTCTCGAATAAAACTCGAAATTCGACTACGTTTATCAAAATGCTACGTCTGGTCGACTCTTCTATATGCAGTTGAAACGTGGACCCTTAAAATATCAACCGTAAATAAATTGGAGGCCTTTGAAATGTGGATCTACCGGAGAATACTCAAAATTTCATGGACATCGCATACCTCAAACGAAGAAGTGTTGCATAGAATAGGCAAGGAAAGAGAACTTTTTAACACAGTAAAAGTTAGAAAAACATCATACCTAGGCCACATACTGAGAAATAATAAGTACCAATATGCCCAACTTACAGTGAAAGGAAAAATCGAGGGAAAGAGAGGCCTAGGAAGGAAAAGACTATCGTGGCTCAGAAACATCCGACAATGGACAGGGCTAAATTTTGAACAGCTAATAAGAACAGCTGAAGATAGAGAAGAGTTTAAAATTGTAGTAGCCAACCTTCATTGAGGAGAGGGCACTTTAAGAAGAAGAAGATGTTTTTTATGCGAAAGCTCTAGAGGAGCCCCCTTGCTTTTTTTGTTTGTTAAGTAGATATAAAATCATAATACTGCTCTAATTTCACAAAGATATATAATTAGTTATCTTTTTCTATTATATATTCACACGAATGCAATTCTGTTACATTAATAACCGCCCATCATCATTCGTTTTCTTACATTTAAATCCCAAATACTTTGCAATCCGTTGGAGAAAACTCACACTTCCGGTCCACTCATACGCCTCTTCAGCCTTTTCTGAAAAAGCCTCAATGATACACGGCAAATTTCAGAAAATTGTAACTTGGATTTCTAATGAACTGTTTGTCGTAGTCACTCAAGTCTGTTACAGTTGATTTCCTTTTAGCAGATATTGTAGCTGAAAATTCTTATAAATTATTTGAATTTGCGTTTGTTAACATATTCGCTTGTTGAATTATCCTTTCTACTGTTAGAACAGGGAACTAACGATTTTTCCATGACATTTGTTGATACATGTATCTAATAACTGCTTTTGATACATTTGGTGATAACAACATGTAATTAACAAGGTATCCAAAAGATTAAACATCATTTTTTACTTAAAAACAATATATAACCAATGTAAGATCGCTATTTGATTTTAAGTACTAAAGGTGAAGACTTGTTACTTATATTCAACAAGTTTCATTTAATAGTTTTTATTTACAACGTTATTATGCGTAAACTATTGAGTTTACATGAATTCTGAAAGCACTAAATTGAAGAAAAATGTTTATTTTATCAAGTCAAATCATTTAATGATTAAAATGTTTAATCGATGTTTTGAAGCTCCAAAAACTCTATTGTCTTTTGGGCAATTTGAGCACTTGCATTTTTCTGATGTAGGATGATTCGTTGTTGTGTGTTGCTTTGTCTGAGTTTCGCGATAACTTCTGGTAAAAAACGCTTATATTGTAATCAAAAGTAACAGTTCTTCGATTTTCTAAAGCAATTGGTGCTACATGACCAGATTTTGACACACAAGTTGCAACCATTTTCCTTGACACACTTTTGACACCGAGAACGGATCACTTTTGTTGGTTTTTTCTCATCGTGAAAACACCCACACAGCCTATTGACGTGTATTTTCCGGTTCGTAGGAGTAAATCCAAGATTTGGATCGAGATCTTTGAAATGCTCAGATGTCTCTGTCTCCCGGTATGTTACACGGCGGTCATCCTTAATTAGCTGATAAACCGCATCATGTTTTGCTGTATGACTGCTGTTTTGAGTGGACTTGGCCTAGATTTGTCGCTAAGACTGGAGCGACCACGTTGAAATTCGCAATACCAGCGGAGAATAGTTGATTGGTGTGATGCTTCATTCCTAAACACAGAAACCATTTCAGCGAGACATTGTTGTTAGGATAATCATTTCCGAATATTTCCGAAAAAATCGTTGCTCGAAAATGTTCTCGGGTAAAATCCATTTTTCGACCGACTTGCTAAATTCAAAAATTCACTGTATCTACACGACTTGTTGTATCGTAGTGAAACTCTCGATTTATACTTACAAAAGGTTGAGATTACATTTGTGGCGGAAGGTTTTATTGGTGGCACCCTCTAAGCGACTATATGCAAAATTAAAAAGACAAACCTCGTACTCCAGTGGTTTCACTCACACGTTGTTTGATATTGGTTCGATTATCTTCATGAAACAGTATTTGTATATATTTAAATATTTGTAAACTATTCCTTTGTATTCCGGTCTCAATCTGATCTGTTTACTCGTACATACACGTGACCGTCTCCATTCTATAAATTCTTTATAAGACTGGAAAACATAATGAGATAGAATTAAACTCTTTTCAAATCTATTGGTTAGAAATTCTCGAAACTATTCTTATTAGTTCCCCGTAGGTCCGTAATAACTAAATAATTACGGTTAAAGATAAAAAATCTTTGTAAAAGCCAGTTTCATTTACTGTTTAAGTGAGCGTTACAATATTTAAATTGTCTAATATTAAAACGCCATTGCATATCTGTTTCTATTACGCGTCTACGCGATAAAACATTTCGTGAAACTGCTCGCCACCGCATTTGAAACCAGATATACATGTAGTAGATAGCAAAAAATTGTATATATTTTGTACTTGTATAACTTCTGTATGACAACTATTATTTTTAATAATCTTATCATGAGAAATATTTACCTAAGAGTTATATTTTTTAGTTTGCAAAAGGGCACTATCCGTACAAATTGCTTGGACTGTTTGGACAGGACAAATTGTGTCCAGACATTTATTGGCCTAGAGGTAATATTAACTAATGACTAACTGACTTCTTTTCTTAGTTTCAATAATCTTCCAGATACTATCTTGGCAATTAAAAAGTATGCAGATGTTAGAAAAAAAGAGTAGGCTAGAAGAAGTTTTCAAGCAAATGTGGATAAATAACGGCAACGAAATTAGTAAAATATATGCAGGCACGGGTGCAATCCAAGGAGGATCAAAAGTAAGCCGAAAATTTACAAGAAACAAAATATTTTTCAAATCCAAAGGTAATCAAAATGTTTTTTTAGTTAATGGATGGCGCGAGGTCAGCTGCTAGGACTATTCAAAACAATCTATTAGATAATTCTAAGCAAGAAGCTATCGATATTCTTTTAGTAGGTTCTACTTTATCTTCAGAATTGGCAGATCGAGCTAGAAATCTCTTGCCTTATAATACTCTTCACGGTAAGTCATTTTTTTTTTCAAAATTTATAGCATATTTTGTGAAACATTATAAAACAATTAGCACTACTGTGCAAGATAATAAATTAGCCGCTCAGAGCCAGAGTAATATGTCATATTTTTATGAGAAGGACGGGGTCTGGCAGAGAGATGGAGAACATCTAGTCAAACTATATACCATCTAGTACTAATAGCTTCTTTGAAATGTCGGGAGGATAGTTTATATATAGATGGAGAAATAAATGGTAAAAACCATACATTATTGGTGGATACCGAAGCGACCAGTACCATTATACGCCTAACAGTTATAAACAGCCGTAAGAAACTTTTACCAACGAGGTTGCGACAGCGGACCGCCACAGGTGAAAATGCCAACATCCATGGAGAAATTCAGATACAATTAGGAATTTGATCAGAAAAGTTCGTCCATAGTGTCATAGTTGATGACATTGAAGAGGGATATTAGGAATGGGTAGGCTTACATTTCGAAAGCTTTCCATTTTTACACATAGTATCTGTAATAGTGAGTTTTATTCACAGTTTTCATTTTTTTCTTATGGCGAGTTGGTTTTTAATTCTCACTATTTTTTATTTCTAGCTCCTAATCATGTACTGCGAGAAATGTGTAAACGCTATACTGAGTATACCGAAGCTATACCTATTCGCGTAGGTGCAGGGACATACAATGTAAATGGAGGAAAACATTTTCGTAGTGTAGTTTTTAAAGACATTCAGCTCTCGGACTGGTTGTTAGATCCACATACCAAATGTCAAGGTAGCCTGGTTGACATTGGATATACAGACGCACACAAATCCATTCCAGTAGACATTTACGCTATAGGTTTTGAGGAAATAGTAGATTTAAATGCTGCTAACATCGTTAACTCTAGTTCGGAAAACGCTAAAGCTTGGGCTGCAGAGTTACAAAAAGTACTATCTAGAGATAGGCCTTATGTTTTGCTGACTTATCAGCAGCTTGTCGGTGTATGCTTATATATTTTTGTAAGACCTGAACATGTACCTTATATCCGAGATGTTGCTGTAGATTCTGTAAAAACTGGGCTAGGAGGACACACTGGCAATAAAGGTAAGTTTTGTATAGTTTTAATTGGAATTTGTATCATTGGTTTGTAGATTAATTTTTATATACATTGTAAAATAAAAAAAAATCAGCCAAAACCTTCAACACAGAACTTTAACACTTTCCCTGCCAGGTGTATCTCTATCGATACACCGGGTGTGATCAACTCAGGCCCGGTGTGTCCTTAGCGATACACTGACAACAGCATTGTTATTAGGGTGCTGTACAAATTTATGGGTATACACAGTTTTGGCCTGGGTCTTACGTGAAAAATATATGAGTGGTTGAAATGTGTGCAAAATAAATATATTGGTTAAATTTTTTTATTATAAACCGTCTTATAAAGATATTAAAAGTATTTTACAAGAAAAGAAATAAACATCAAGTAAATATCAAACGCAATTCATTTTTCTTGATACAAAACTAATATTGAAAAAAATTAACGTCTCAATTCTAACGATATTTTTGTGATAAATAAAATAACTCAAACAATGATTTGAAACACGATGAATGTTTGGCATTAAAACAGTTCCGGCAGAAGTGGAGATTTCCTTCACAAGTGTCACAAATAGTAATAACTTGCGATGCCATTGTTTTCTTTCAATCTACGATTTTGACTTTCTTCCCATACATTTCATAGCATTGTACACACCTGGCCCTCTTTTTTTGCGTGGGTAAGTGGTGGGTTACATGTTCTCTCTCTTTTTTTTAAGTGAAACTGGAACAAACCATGAAGTGGAGATATCCACTATGTCCACTATGCCACTATGTCAAGGAAAAGAAAAATAGTCCCAATTGTGTTAATCGTCACACCAGCATCAACAGAGACTTCGTCCCACTTCATCGACAATTATTCTCCTAATCTAACTTTCTTTTAACTTCTTCTTTAAGTGCCGTCTCCTTTAAGAAGGTTGGCTATCATCACGGCTATCTTCACCTTTGACACTGCTGCTCTAAACAGCTCAACAGAGTTACAATTGTACCACTGCCTCAAATTGTTTAGCCAGGATACACGTCGTCGGCCTATGCTTCTTCTGCCCAGTATCTTTCCCTGTATAATGATCTGCAGCAACTCATATCTCTCACCTCTCATGACATGACCCAGATACTGCAATTTTCTTATTTTAATTGTATTTAATAACTCCTTTTCCTTGTTCATTCTTTTTAAAACGTCGTTGTTCGTAACCTTATCGATCCAACTTATTTTTAAAATTCTTCTATAAGCCCACATCTCAAACGCTTCTATTCTGTTACTTATATCTTTTTTAAGCGTCCAAGCCTCCATTCCATATAATAACACAGAAAATACATAACATCTAAGCATTCGTACTTTAAGTTGCAGACTCAGATCATTGCTGCAAAGTACTTTTCTCATAGTATTGAATGTTGATCGGGCTTTTCCTATACGTGATTTGATTTCCTGTGTGTAATCGTTGTTTTCGGTTATGATTGTTCCCAAGTATGTATATCTGTTCACCTTTTGAACGAGTTCGTCCCTAATCCATAACGTGTCCTGTTGTTGTGTCTTTGCGATGGTCATGAATTTCGTCTTTTTGATATTTAAAGTAAGTCCAGCCTCTTCGCTACTGTCTACAATCTTATTTATCAGAACCTGCAATTCTTCAACTGACTCTGCGATTACTAAAGTATCATCGGCGTATCTGATGTTATTTATAAGTTCTCCGTTGACTTTAATTCCACTTGATGTTTCCTTTAGTGCCTTCTGAACTACCTCTTCTGAATAGAGGTTAAAAAGCAGCGGAGACAATATGCATCCCTGCCTTACCCCTCGTTGTATTTCTATTTCTTCTGATAGTTCGTTGCCAACCTTTACAGATGCAACTTGATTAAAGTAAAGGTTTGATATTATTCTAATATCTTTCATATCCAGATTTTTATCTTGAAGTAGCTGTAGGAGGCGATTATGTCTGACTTTGTCAAATGCCTTATTGTAATCAAGGAAACAGACATAAAGAGGTTGGTTAACATCCATACATCTTTGGGCCAATACATTCAGGGCAAACAAGGCCTCTCTTGTACCCATTGCGTTTCTGAAGCCAAACTGCGTGTTACTAATATCTTGCTCCAGTTTTCTGAAAATTCTTTGATGTATAATTTTCAAGAATATCTTTAGAGTGTGGCTCATTAAGCTGATGGTTCGATGGTCACAGCATTCTCTAGCGTTAGCTTTTTTCGGTAGAGTCACGAACGTCGACTTAAGCCATTCTTTTGGAATGACGCCTGTATCATATATGGTGTTGTACAAGTCTTTTAGTATATCTATTTGATCTTCTGCGATTAATTTTATAATTTCCGCTGGTATCTCATCAGGACCTGTAGCTTTATTATCTTTTGCCAATTTTACTGCATGCATGACTTCTTCTTTTGTTATACTGGGCCCCGTTTCTCTACTGTTGTATAGTTCTATGTTTTCTGGTTGTCTCTCATCTTTAAATAATTCCTGTATGTATTGTTTCCATCTTTCTATTTTCTTGTTGTTATCAAGGATAATTTTACCTTTTTCATCTAATAGAACACTACTGTGGTTTGTTTTTCTGATGCCGGCCAGTTCTTTTACCTTCCTATGTAGATTAAAGTCATCATGCCTTTCCAATAGTACTTCTATTTCCTCACACTTGTTTGAGTACCATTTTTCCTTGGCTTCTCTTATTTTCTTTCTAATTACACCATATATGTCTTTATATTTTTCGATGTCTACGTTCTTGTACAATCTTCTCTTTTCCATCAATTGCAGTATCTCATCATTAATCCATGACTTTGTTGTGTTATTATTTTTCTTTCCTTTTAGAATCTCCTTCGTTGGATTCAGCATTATGTTTTTAAATGTTTCCCATTTTCTGTTCGAATCTTCGTCTGGATCGATTATATTTATCTTTATTTCCTCGTTAATTTTTTTGGATAGCTGATCTCTTACAAATGAATTTTTCAAAAATGAACGTTGTATTTGATTCTTATTGCAACGTGCAGTTAGTTTTTTAAATCGGAGATCGAATGATACAACAACGGGATTGTGGTCTGTGGCTGCATCAGCCCCAGGGTATGTTTTTGCTGATTTAATGGAGTTCCGAAACCTTTTTCTTATTAAAACATAGTCTATCTGGTTTCTAATAACTTTCCTATCATTATCCGCAGGCGATCTCCAGGTGTAGAGTCGACGATTAGGTAACTTAAAATAAGTGTTTGTAACTACCAGACTGTTCTCTTGACAGAACTCCACCAATCTTTCCCCCCTCTCATTTCTTAAACCAAGTCCATATTTCCCTACAATATCTTCTACTTCTCCTTTTCCTACTTTTGAGTTAAAATCGCCCATAACAATCGTGATATCTCTATGCTTTGTATTATCCAGGGCTTGTTGTATATCTTTATAGAATTGTTCTATTTCATCGTCTGTCTTGTCGGAAGTTGGAGCATATACTTGGATTATATTTAACTTTCGTTGGATCATTGTTAAAGAAACCATAACTACTCTATCTGAGATAGGACTGAAAGAAGTGACTGATTGACATAAGTTCTTATCAACAATGATTGCTACTCCATTTCGATGGTTTGGATCATTATTTCCCGAATAGTATATTTTGGAATTTAAAATCTGTTGTTCACCCGAGTCTGGCCATCTGGTTTCACTTAGTCCCAATATTTTGACAGACATGCGTTGCATTTCTTGTATGACGTTGTGTATCTTTCCGGCTTCATAAATTGTTTTAATATTCCAGGTAGCGATCTTTGCACCTTTATTCTTTTTGTAGGGTTTTCGTAGATTAACGACCGGGGGAGCCCTACAGTCTTTTGGTTGTCTACCCCTGCCGGATCTTGACGACCGAAAATCATGATCAGTAACTTGTTGTAACCATCTTGTACTAGCCATAATGATTAACTAGGGATATCCATTAAGGATCTTTAATGTAGTGGTTTCCCCTTGCCTTCTACATCCTTACGCCGTTGACCTATTTTTTCGGTTCGTCCGCCTTTAGGGTCAGTTTCCCAACCCCAGGACAAAAGGGTGCCCTACCACTTACCAACTCATCCGCCCGAAGCCGTTGGTCAGTAAGTGGGGGATTGCTTATACCGGCAAACGTTCGGTAGAATTTTCGCCATATCTGGCTACCCTCACTTAGTTTAGCCTGCAGACCAATGCAGTTGCCCGGGGTGTGGCACGTGGAGCCATAAGTGAGAGTTAGTTGTCTTATGAGGACCAGTTATCAAGAACCATCTCCCGTCTATGACGCTCGATGTGGTCGTTCCGATAAAAGGTGCTACCTCTATAACACAACTCTACACCCCTTCTTTTAACTACACATCCAATTTTACTTATTTCTCATAGCTAAATATCAACTTACATAATCATTCATACTTAACTCTATACTTGTCACCATTAATACACTAACATCACCCCTTTGCCAATATCCAACCACCCATCCTCTCCAATAACTACCATCTCACTTATCATACACATTTTCTTATAAATATTCATTTTACATGTATCAATCTCTTATCACAATCAGTTTCAATATCCCCAGCTTACATCGTTACATTCACCTTCTATTTCCTTTTCTTGCTTTCTCTTTTATTTCTTTTTTCTTTTTCTTTTCCTTGACTCATCTTCCATAAATTACAATCCAACTTTTATATATACTCATTTCATACAACGAAACAATTAGGTAATAACATTCTTTTTATCCCATTTAAAATGATTTATTAATTTTAACCACTTAAATTAAAAAATTTTCCCTACCTTGGTATACCAATTTATTTTAATTTATTTTACATCGCAGTCACTCATTGATTTATATTCTCCCATCAGTTTTTTAAAATACCAAAAATTGCTAATGATCCTACTACACACAAAACACATTTCTTCACTAAAAACTGCCTACTCACAAACTTAAGCACAATGACTTTGCTCCTACCACATCATTCCACTTGACATTGACGGGTACTAACTGATTTTTCATACCATCTTTCTATCAGTTAGCCCTAGACTC